CCCCAAAACCCCAAAACCCCAAAACCCCAAAACCCCAAAACCCCGTGTCCTAGCCTTAATGTTGAAATTTCCTAGTAAGTAGTATTAAGACCTATCTTTCTATAAGAGCCAAGCTCACTTTTAGTCAGAAGAGCAAAAGTTTAAGACCAATACATGTGCTGATGATATCTAAGGAATGTAATTTAGCTTCAAAAGACGAATTTCAGCGAGGATTCACTTAAAATATACCCTCGTTGATTTAAGACTTTCAGGCCTAATTTAGCCATACAAAACGCAGTTCAAAATTTCTTAACAAATAGGCCAAGACCGTTGGCTAACTAGTAAAATGAATTTGTTGTAATCTTGTAAATGAATGATTGATTGAGGTGCATCATACCACTCTTTCTGCAGCCTTTGAATCGATCGTTGAGGCCCTCAATCCAATTTTTCGATAAATTTTTTTCAAGGGCCTCAGATCGTGAGGACAGAGTTTGAATGGATGATATGGGAGACAGCAATTAGCTTACTCCCTTGAGTTGCCTGTGATTGAAGTATAACAATTTCCATCACACTCAAACTCATCTGAGGAAACATTATGGTCAACAAACTGACCAACTTCGTCCTCTTCAGAGGTGAAGTTTGAGAAAACTGGAGAATCCAGATGATCGTCTCTCACTGTTGATAAGCCAGTCTGTTGTCCGGCAGTATCAAGGAAACGACCAGCAGCTGTGGCTGCCTTTTCCTCAATCTTCACCACTGAGATATTGTCTGGAGATCTCCAGTCCTGGCTATAAATATCAACCAAATCTCTGTCTCCAGTCATCACCTCATTCGCATGTGGCTCTTCCTCTTGTATCCAGTTTTGCGCTGGAATTTGAGTAGGAATTGCGCCTGGGAGTCTGACCTTGTCAGACACATAAGACCCAGGGCATGCTCCTCCTGCTGGAGCAGAAATATGGAATTGTGTTCCAAATTCTGATTCTTCTTGGTTGCCTCTCATTTGGCAATCCAATTGATTTTTACTCCATCCCTGGGTATGCATTGGGCGTAAAAGATTATTCTTCCTCAGAAGATCTCTCTGGGATTGAGTAGAAATCGGTTTATCTTCCTCGCCAATCTCGATACAAGAAGTACCGAGGCTGACCGGAAGATCATCATGGTCTTCAGGACCTATATCGAAAGGTCTACAAAATTTATTATCTAAAATACCTTAAAGATGTCGTAAATAGTTCGTTGAGCTTGACATCAGAATATTCTCCAGACTGGGTCATATCCTGACTATATCCAAGGATGCTTGTAAAGGCCCCATTCGAGTAAGGGGAAAAGTCGGTATTTCCTTCTTCCATGATTGCTTTGTTATAAATTTATTATAATTGGGATTGTTCACTAGAGGTTTTGGAAGAGGGGTTTTGGGGTTTTGGGGTTTTGGGGTTTTGGGG